TCCAGCTTGGTCATGTGTGGAATTGTGTGGCCATGCATGTGGGAATCCTGGGGTGGACACAGAAGTGGCTTTCAAGCCCTCTTCCCTGTGTTTCTGAGTATTTGTTTCGTGGGAGTCCGGGGGTCTGTGGACTTGGCTGAGTTGTCCTGAGTCTGTGCCGTCCCAGGATGGGACATCAGTGTAAATGACAGTGCACAGTGTCTGTGAAATGGGAAGACCGGAGCCTGGCACCTCTGAGGACCAGCGCTGCACCCTGGCCTGACAAAGTGGAGGGAGGAAGGGAGCTGGGGGCTTCCTGCGGTGGCACTGGCTCGGTGTCCAGTCACACACAGGACTTCCGGACCTCAGATGCAGCTGATGAGGCCTATGGCCTCCTGCCCCTCTGGTGTCCATAGCAGAGTGGGCACAAGTCCTGGCCAGGGTGTCCTGGATGGTCAAGGCTGCTGCCTGCTGTGGGGAAAGGACCAGAAGCCAAGAGGCTGTGATGTCCCCACTAGCCCAGCCCTGCTTCCCGTGTGGAGGGTGTCCATAGTCCCTGGGTGTCACAGGACCTCGGGCCAGCAAGGGCCCCTGTGCCTCCAGCCAGCTGTGCCGTCAACACAAACTCCGAGTCTCTGTGCAGTGAGAAATCAATTGCAGGGGAGAAAAACAGGAAAATTTCTCTAAATGCCTCAAATCTCCTGGGCAGTGTTGTACAATGAAATGAATACATGAGCTACCCAGCAAATTCATCTTTCAATTTCTCAGGATTGTTTAGTAAGAATAAGGCTCTAATCAACTGGGATTTTAGAACTTTATCTGTTCAAATGAGCTGAAACTTCAGGTTTTCAGATCTTACAAGTATGAGCCAAAGAAACTCACAGTTTGCAACATCATTTTCAAAATAATTTTATCATCATGGATTCCAAAACATGTATGTGTAGCATAATTCATAGGGAAATATTTCTTTATTCCAAAATTTTGTGTTTTCCAACAAATAAATCTATCGCCACATGCTTTGCTCTCCTGGTAGATGACAAATTAAGCAGTGGGCACTTTTAGGATGAGCAGAATTTGCACATAATTTTCCATCAGCATGAAAAGTCTCAAGTAACTAATTTTAGGTCAGTTACCTATTTTTGTGTGTTCAAGAGTGATATCAGAACAACTTCTGGAGCCTGTGTATTCTCACACCAGTGCCAGCCTCACATGCGTCTTACGGGAGCCCAGCAGGCTGAGGGACAGGTGTACACAGCCAGCATCCCCCTGTTCCTCAGGCCTGGGAGCCTGGTCCTGGAGGACCCTGAGCTCCTGGACTCCCAGAGCCAGCTTGTGAGGTGCAGCAGTGCTCTTCATAGACCCTCCGTGTTACAGGACTGAACAAATTTTAGCTGCTGGGTTTTCCAAAGTTCATGAGAAACCTTGCCTTATTTTTCAGTTTTGCTTAATCACTGGGAGCTCAAATCTCAGAAAACAGATGGATTCAGTTAATAAATTTTAAAGATCTACAGTTTAGGGCATAAAACCTGAAACGGACTTGGAACTGGCCTAGGGTTTTGGATCATCACCATTCTGCCTCCTCTGTAAGGGCTTTTCCGTTCTCCCTGCAGTGAGCCACCCCCAGGGGCCACACGTGCTGGCTGTCACCAAGGCATGCTGGGACGAGGGGTGACCGCTCTGCTCTGGGACAAGGCCACCCACCATTGTCTCGTCTGATCTTTGCATCGGTCACCCACTCTTCCCAGCTTCCTGGAGGGTGGAGGAGCAGAGCTCCCTTTCCTTAGGGAAGAGAGTCTGGGCCAATAAGACCCTTCTGCCACTCACTGCTATGCTGACCTGGCTCAGGGCCACGGCTGCACCAGGCTTTGTGGCCAGGAGCCTGGGTGCCCAGGGTGATGGTACCCACTTCTGGGATGGCTTCTTCACACACAGGGGTCCAGTGGCTGCTGTGGATGTCCGGCCGGGGCTGCCCTTTGCCCAGCCCCAGACAATCTACTCCTTGTTCCTGTGGCCCTCACCAGCCTTTGGAGGCCCTTCCAGCTTCTGCCCAACCAGAGCCAGCTCCTGTCAGCCCCGATGGCAAACCCCGAGCTGCACCCGGTCCTGAGGCCTGGGAGCTCAGAGGGCCGAGCCATGCGCCTTCCACAGATCTGGGCCTGGGGCTGCCTTCCTCTGCTTTCTGGCACTGGCCAGGGAGGCTGGAGGTGACCTCTGCCCTCTCTGTGCATCCACAGACCTCTTCCCCACCGGGGTTGGGCCTCCCCACGGTGGCCTGGGCTCCAAGAGTGAGGCCCAGACAGCAGAGGTGGACGCACGGCCTCGTCCCGTAAGGCCGGGTCTGAAGCTCGCAGCAGCGCTACCGCAGACAGGGTGGGCAGACCCCGGGGCGGGAGGCAGACCCCACTGCGACGTCACTGCAGACCTCCAGGACAGGCTGCAGGGCGACAGTGTGCCCGCTGTGACTAAGTAGAGATACAATGAGCTGATGGTGATGATCACAGTCCCTGGACTCTGAGGACGTCGTTAGTGCCCCAAGCCCTCACCCTGGTATGGGTCTCAGTCACGTCCTTGTTGCTGAGACAAACACTTGAGGCTCGCAACTTAAAGGAAGAGGGGGTTTATTTTGGCTCACAGTTTCAGAAACTTTAGTCCCTGTTGGGCATAAACAGATTTATGGAAGGACCTAGAGGAAGAGAGCTGTTTGTATCATGGGGGACCGGAAGCAGAGAGAAGGGAGGAGCAGGGGCGGGAGATGGACCCTTCCAGCCCCGCCCCAGGGACCCACCTCCCCCCCCAGGCCCCGCCCCAGGCCCCGCCTCCGGACACAAGTTTGCTGTAGCAAACCTCGCCAAGGGCAAGCCCTGCCTGTGAGCGGTGAGGCCCTGGGCTGTCTAGAGTAAACGCAGCAGTGTGGTGCAGCTCGAATGCCTGTGGGCTTGGAGAGCGGCAGGGACGAAGCGGGGAGTGCTGCACAGTGATGCGGAGTGGGCACTTCCTCGTTGCTTGGAAACTGGTTGACATCAGCGCCTGTCTGTTGTTGGTCCCCTTCGCCCCGGTTCTGACGGGACTGTCCTGTTGCGTGGCTCGTGCACTCTGGTCACCGACCGGAAGGCCTCCTGCTTTAGTGCAGGGTGGTCTTTGCCCAGCAGGACCCGCTTGCAGGCTCCTTGCACCATCTACCCTTTGCTTGATTTCCTATAAAGCTCTCCTGCCCGTCTTCTCTGGCCAGGCTCTCCTGGGTCTCCTCCGTCCCGTGCTGGCACGGGAGTGGTGTGATGCGAGTGAGGGGCCCCGTGGTGATTCCGGCCTCCCGTCCTGGCCTTCGCAGGCCCCTCGAGAAGGTGGGTGCCTCCTCTGTCCCCCGTCGGCTGCGATGGCGGCAAGCGGACGAGGAGCTCGAGGCAGGAAGCTCAGAGTGGAGCACTTGCAAACGCGGCCCCGTTAGGCCTGCAGGTCTCCCTGCAGACCCCGGCAGCCTGCTGGACACCGTCGGGCCCCTTCTCGGTCACACTGGCTGCCCGAGGACAAGCCCTGAGGGCCTTTGGGCCGCCCTGTGGAAAATGGGTGGGCTACTCAGGCCAAATGGCAACTCAGCAGCCGAGCGTGTGTGCAGGCAACGGGCACAGGCCTGGAATGCTCATGGGGCCCTCGGGGCTGACAGGAGCCCCAGGGGCTGGGAGAGAGGCCCCTGCCCGGCACCAGGGGCCCCTTCTCCTCCAGCTGCAGGACAAGGCCCGGGCGCGTCCCGCACCCCAGGATCAGAGCCCCGGTCACCTCGCTTTCTTGTTGGGCAGATCTGCAGCCGGCTGACAGCGCCGGAGCACCGCTGTGAGGAGGAACATGCTGATAAGCAGAGCGCGGTGGGCATGGGGCTCCGCCAGTGTCACCGTGGGCACGTGACAAGGAGCCCTTGATGAGAATGTGGGGCACAGGCTGAGCCCGCAGTGGCTGGGACAGTGTGGGTTACGGGTGTGGGCAGCAGACACGCTCGCCCTGCAGTCACAGGTGAGCACCTCCGGCCTGAAGACTTAATAACGGCCCCTCCCGCATCCTCCAAAGCCGGCCCCTTAGCAGAGTGTCTCACTGCAGCTCCAGGTCCCCAGGCCTCATGCGTGTCCACCCGCCCCGTCCCGTGCCAGCTGGGGACCCCTGCCGCAGCTGCAGGCGGCCCAGGTGGGCGAGCTGGCGGGCAGGGACTTTCCCAGCACCCCTGTCCCAGGCTGCCTCTGCATGCCTGCCTCATTCCTCACCAGCACCTGGTGCCGCCCGAGGCAGCCGGATCACAGGCCCGGCTCCTGCTGCTCATCTGTCATCGCCCTTCTTGCGAGCCTCATCCCGCCGTGCACACCGTGGCTTCCAGGTTCGGAGGGATGCGCCGCTCTGCCCTCTGCCTGGCTCTGCAGATTCAGGAGGCCCAGTGCACTTACAGTCCAGGAGAAATAAAAGAAGGAGGCGGGGAATTCTTCCCCAGCCTCTCCCTTGGAGTGGCCCTGGCCCCAACCCGAGACAACCCCGTTCCCACCTGGCACTCGGTCTCTCAACCTGGGGCGATGACCAGGATCATGGAGAGGAGCTGCTTGTGCCTGTGGCTCCTGAAGGACTGTATGTCCCAGCCAATAGTCTGCAGCCCGAGCAGGCTTTTTCTTTGCACCAGAAGAAGGCATCTTCAGGGTGGCCTTTGAGAAAACAGCAGTGACTGATCCCTTCTGTGCAACAACATGAACCCTCAGGAGCACGGAGTTCCAGTCTCAGTTATACGGCCGTCCAGACACAGCTTTGATTTGCTGGAGACTTGAGGCTCAAAGAGCCCTTACTTTGCTGCAGTTTGTGTGGCAATTCTGGCTCTTCTTGGCTTTTTTTTGTATGAGATTTGACCTGAGCCAAGCCTGGTGTTGCACACCTGTAATCCAAGCTACTCAGGTCGCGGAGGCAGGAGGATCACAAGTTTGAGGTCAGCCTGGGCAACACTGTGGGATGTGGTCTTAAAAAATAAAATAGAGGTTTCTTCCCGTTCAGGCACATGGTGCAGGCTGTGAAGACCCCGTGAGGCCACATTTGCTCAGTCGCTGCCAGATTCTAGCAGCCAAGTGCTCAGCGAAGCTGGCTGTGTCTCCCAGGCATCTCTGCTCGTGAGTCCGGGACCTTTTCTGTGTCTTCAGGCTGATTTGCAGGTGCTCAGTGTTGAGCGCAGCTTGGTCCGATGAGGCTTTGTAAGGCAGGTGTGCTTCAGGTGGCACAGGATGTCCTGAGGAGGAAGGGCCCCCTGAGAGCTAAGCGCCCCGGGTCTGGGCTCTGACGTGTCTGAGGTTTTGCCTCTCCCCAGCTCACTGTAGACCTGAGGTGCAGTGACTTCTGTGCACGTGGCTGAAAGTCCACTCCAGGGAGGCCCCCGGGAAGGGGCTGCTGGTGCATCCTAGGAGGCAGCGCCTGCCCGGAGCTGGGGGCCTGGTGTCTGTGCTCCTCAGCACACAATCGTGTACAAGAAAGGAATGTGTCAGCTGCTTCCCGATGGGATTGATACGAGCAGGTCCAGACCTTGGACTCTGAGGGCCTCCAGCATGGCTTCTGTGTCCTGCTCTGGGGTCTCCAGCAGATAACAGCTGGAAAATGTTATTTAAACTGGCTGTTAGCCTGCTTAGCCTAATGCTTGGGAAACACTGGTGACTGAATTGAATGATTTTTATTGATTTTATATAGTGTGTCCTTGGAAAAATATTGTGAGAATCTGGGTTAAAGTTTTCAAAATGGGCTCCTTGCTACTTCCTGTGGGAGGGAAATCACTTCTGGTTTCCCTATTTTCACACAAAAGTAGATTCTTGAGGTCTCTTCAGTGAAGAAATAAAATACTATTGAGTAAGCATATTGTACAGACCTTGTGTTGGTCTGTTTTTTCAGGATAATACTCGGGTTTACCTACGCACGCGCTAAAGACTTGACCCGTAAGTCTCTTGAAGTGCAGGTGATTCTGAAGGCTCCCGGGGCCAGAGTGCCTGTGCAGGTTATGTTTCTACCATGTGTTCAAGCACCTTCTCCTTCCACCAGCAAGCTTTTCCCGGGAACGGGCTGAGCATCGGGTACAGGTGAGAAGGTAAGTGGTGTGCATCCCCAGAGGCCATGGGGACCTGGCAGACCAGGCGGGCTTGCACTGGAGGCGGGAGATCGGGGTCCAGCCCGGCAGGGCTAGGCGTGGAGCAGGTCCAAGACCGGGGCTCGCCAGCCTGGCCCTGACGGTGGCTCCTCTGGGCATGACTGGATAGCATTCAGAAATCGGAGGATCTTCCTTCTCCACACCCCAGTCTCCAGGGCTGGAGAACAGGCCAGCGTGTTTTAGGCCTTGCTCCCTCTGTCCGAGCCCTGCCTTCTGTGCCCCCAGAGTAGGCTCGAGTCATTCTGGCTGTCTGCTCCTTTATCTTATTTATTTATTTTGGTACTGGGGATCGAACTCTGGTCCTTCTGCTTGCGAGACAGGTGGCGGAAGCACTGAGCTAAATCCCTGGCCCTGTCTGTTCCTTTATTTAAACTGCCGTTAGCAGCATATTTTCCATGGTGCTTCCTCCTTCAGGTGTCCTGTGGGCTGGTGCAGGGTTGATTCCTTGAGCCGTGTCCTCCCCTCTTACACTGCAAAGTGTGACTGGAGCTGACCCTGCCCTCGAGCCCCCCATGTGCCTCAGCCACCTCCAGGATGTGGCTTAGCCCACTGCCCGGTGCTCACAGCTTTGGTAGCACAAACGTGTTCTCACGCACCTTCAACACCCGTGGGCACACAGAGGCGCTGCTTCCTTCCCACCCCCACCCCCAGAGATTTCTGTGCATACCAATGTCCTCTCCCTCCAAAGATTCCGGATTCTTCTGCCACCAGCGTCCTTCCCTCCTTGTGCCCCCTGCCCCGTGTGCCTTGGTCCCCTGGACAGTGGCACACGAGGCTCAGACCCACGAGGCCCTCGGTCCCTGTTGGAATAGGCTTCCTCTGTCCAGGCAGTGGGCAGCTGGCTTTCCTTTCTTTCTTCACACGGAAGCAGGTGGACATAACTTTGCTCTCCTAACTTCTTGATGTGCTAGGGGATGATGGGGCCACTGCGTGCTGGGCTGGGGAGGGGCGCAGATGTCACGGAGCCAAGGTGGATGTCAGGAGCAAGGGCAGCGGGAGGCCTCGCACCCCAGGCAGTGCAGGGTAGATCCTTCCTAGGGACCCTAAAAATAGTGTGAAGCAGCCTAGCTCCTCTGTCCTGCTTACTATTGCTTTTGTTACTTACTATTGCATGACCAAGCTCCTGCAGAGATGTCAGGAGCTCCCGCCCCTCCTGCTTTGCATCTCTCCATGGCTTCTGGCAGCTGGGCTTGGCGAGGGGCTCATCAGGACGGAAGAGAGGCATCATGGATGATTGCTTTATGATTCGCAAGTGCGGGCAGTCCATGTAGATCTCAGGAACATGCCAAGGACGCCGAGCGGCGCATACCAATGTCCCCTGTGAGTGACAGCCCACTGCGAGGCGTTCCACCGGCTGGAAGAGTGCTTTGCACGGGTCGCCCCACTGCTCTGGGCAAGACGCAGAGTGCAGGCGTGGAGCTGGAGTGAGCCAATGACGTTGTTCCAGGGGTCTTCTCTGATCAGTCTAGCCCTGGCCGCATCCGAGGGTTCCCAGGACAGCTGGGTGGGGGTCTCTGACGGGGCGGGAGGAGGTGGGCGGTGGGGTCCCACAGAGCCCCGAGCCAGTGATTCCAGAAACCGCTGTGACACCTGCTAGGAACCTCGGGGGCACAGGCAGGTTTGTAGTAATCACACCCTTCACCTCTTTAAGGTCTGGGGAGCATTGCAGTGGCCCGGCTGGGACACACGCTCGACTGCTGCCGCACTCTACCTCACAGTCAGTCAGCATCCAGCTGCAGATGGAGAGGCTGGTGGCCCTCAGCACCGGCCTTTGTGACCGAGCAAGGGGGTGAAGTTAACTCAATGCCTGCCCCAGTGTGTTTCAGCAAGGCAAGGGAGTCTGGAGAGAAATGCGAGCCTACGCCTGGGTCCGAAGGAAGTCCGGGAGGGGCTGCCAAGGCGATGGCGGAACATTTGAGAGCCGAGAACGCACTTGCAGCACGCTTTGGGACACCGGCTCTCAGACAGACGCCTGCTGAGAGACCGCACTGCAAGGTAGAAATGAGCCCTGCACGTAGGACCGTCACTCCTGGCTTTATTAGACGCTCGTTCACGTCAGGGCAGCGCAAGCGCTCTGTCCGTCTGTGGTCTGCTTGCACCCTCTGTCAGGCGTTCCTGCGCAGCTGGCACCTGCACCCCGGGCAAGCGCAGCTCAGCTTCCAGGCCTGTGCACAGGAGTCTTTTTCCTGGCACTTCCTGCCCATCTGTCACCCACCATTGCTATTGTCTGTCTGCCTGCCATCTACCTATCGTCCACCTATCGCCTCTTTCTGTCTGTCCTGCACTTGCCATCTATTATTTCTTATCTACCTATCATCTCCCTACCTATCGTCATTATCTGCGTGTTACGTATCATCTCCCCATTGTCATTATCTATTATCCATCCCTCGACTCATTGACTCATCGTCTCTGTGTTGTTTATTGTCTATATGCGTCTATCTCTCTACCCATCCCCATCCGTGCATCTGTCCGTGCTCACTAGAAAAACAGATTTCACGGAAGATATGTAAATATATAAGGGTGTAGAAGGCAGCCTTACAGAGTCGGGTGTGGAGGGTGCAGAGGGTCGGTCTGCGGGCGCGCTGAGACCCAAGGACCCAGGCGAAGGCCTGGAGCTCCGTGCAGAGTCCCGTGTGGGTTGGCATGACGAGGCTGAAGGCTCTGCTCCGGGAGCCGGGAGCCGGGAGACGACGTCCAAGGTGAAGACGCCCGGAGCTCCTCCGAGGACGGGAGCAGCCGTCCTTCTTTGCCTTTATTCCATTCAGGCGACAAGCCTACCCAGGCTGTGTCTTCTGCCTTCAGTCAGTCCCCTCAGCCACACTCAGAACTGGGGCCATCCAATTTAGTTGGGTGTTTCTTGCTTGAGTTGACACAATCAGTTAACATCACAGCCCACACCTACCTATTGTCTGTCATCTTCCGTCCCTCCGTCCCTCCGTCCCTCCGTCGTCTACCTGTTTTACACATCCACCTCTCCATCCACCCACCATCTGTCTGGCGCCTGTTACCTTCCTGTCCACCTGCCCACCACCCAGCTCTCATCCGTCTGCCTGTCCCTTGCCTGTCCAGCCCCGAGGGTCCCTGAGACCTGATTTCTGTCCCCGCGTGCCACACCCTCCCATCCCTGCTGGCCCATGCTGCTCCTTCTGAGTTCTGAACTCGCACCACCGCAGGTGTTTCGTGACTCATTTTCCCCCCAGCCAGATTTAAGCAGATGCCACTAAAGTACACCGTGCATGTGAGCGGTGAGCACAGCACACTGTGAGCAGTTTCCCTTCGCTGTCTCTGCAGGGGTCTCTCCGCCCCGGAGTCTGACAGTGCCTGCTTGGCGGACCCTGAGCTTCCTGTGGGGGACGTGCACCCGGTGGTCCTTCCTGTCTGGCTTCTCCCGCCACTCGAAGAGCAGCATTAAAGAAGCCCGCCTTGCTGGTGCAGACTTCTGCATCCCGTGGTGCTCAGTTCCAGATGTGCTACACCACTTTCTCTTCGTGCTGGAGGGACGTGGGGTGCTCCCGGCTGGGGAAAGGATGGGGACGACTTTGTGAGCTTTATTTTTCAATATAGGGGATGGGACCCAAGGCCTTCACACACATCCTAATCTTTTAAAAGTTTTTATTTTGAGGCAAGGCCTAAGTCACCCCATTGCCCAGGGTGGGCTCCAACTTGGTATTCTCCTGTCTCACCCTCCCTGAGTGCCATGATCACAGGTGTGCACCACCACAAGGCTTGGAATTGCTTTTTGCTTGAGGTGAGAAGAATCTCTGGGTCCGCAGCTGTCCCTGTGGCTGTCAGATGTGCGCTGCTACGGGCACCGCAGGCTGTGGAGTAAGAGAGTCCATGAGCGTGTGACCTGGCTCTGCCTGGGCCGCTCTGCTACCCGGTCCCCATCACCGCCCTTGGCCCGAGTTCCTGCACCCAGGGGTCTGACCGCACTTGCTGCTCAGTTTGTGGTGGCCACTTGCTGCCCTGCGCACTTGTGCAGAAAAGCGAGTCGGTGTCCGCTGCACACGAGTCCCCAAGTTTCACAGAGGACCATTCGTCTACAGCACGTGATTAGCGAGCAGCGAGGCTGGGGGCGAGGACCCCGGAGGCTTGCAGCGCTGTGGCCACGCTGGGCTGCTCTCCCACTCAGCCCAGGGCCCCTTCACGCGGGGGGCGGGGTGACGCAGGGTGGCCACGGGCGGTGGTCGAGTACCCTCGAATGGAGCAGTGAGCTCATGGCCTGGAGATGGCAGCCGAGGAGGTGAGCTCTGTGACGTGAGCAGCCCTGAGGGCTGAGCGCTCCGCAGGGTCAGGGCCTCACGCAGGGCGCAGGGCACAGGGCGCAGGGCGCAGGGAGCTGTGTGTGACCCAGGAAGCCTCAGGCACATCGGCCACACCTGCTGAGAGCCGCCCAGGACCTGAGAAGAGTGTGGATCACAGCAGCCAGGGTGAGATGGTGCTGCCAGGTGAGGGGCTCACACTCGATGTCCATGCCCTCTGTGGACTTCTCTGCTGGAGCTTTGGTCCTTGGGGTGCAGGTGGGGCGTGGAGACAGTGTGTTCCCCTGCAGCTCCTCCCCTGCTCGGCAGAGCCCGGGCCCTCCATGGTCCCTGCACTGCTCACCCTTCGGAGCCCTCAGGGCTTAATGGACCCCATGTCCCCTTCTCCCACGTTGCGGACTCAGGACACTGCCACCCTGGGTTGGCTGACGGCTGGAGACCAAGTCCCTGGTGGAGGGCACAGCTGCATAGGCCCCCTTGCACCCAGAAGGACCGACCAGCCCGGCCGCCTGAGGCTCCCGTCATCCGCAGGAACCTGAGCCTCACCCAGGGCCCAGGCCACCTCCTCGGTGCCTGGGCACAGCGGCCTTCTGTGAAGCACACGTGGCCCTGTCCTCCGGGCTTTACCACAGCCACATCTCTGTTGTGGTAAGCAGAGGCCCCGGGAACACAGCAGCCACTGTCTCAAAGGTCAGGACTGCCACTCGCTGTACTTCATGCGATGCCCCTGGAGGCTCAGTGGGAATTTCCCCAAGGTCCTCGGAGGTGCAGTCTGTCCATCCAGACGGCCCAGCCACTGCCCCTCCACTGGGCCCCGGTGGAAAGGATGAGAGGCTCACACAGCGTGGTGTGTGTTTGGGGCCCTCCCGGTGTGGGCCCCAGCGGCCCTCCTTCCAGCTGGGTGCTGAGCCTGGTGTCCACCCTGTGCCTGGGCCACACGGAGGTGGCAGATGGGGTCCACAGTGCTGGGTAGGGCTCCCAGGAGGCGCAGAGTCAAGGGGGAATGCGCGTGCACAGACACGATCATGCGTGGGTGACTAGGCTGGCTCACAGGATGGAGGGGAGAGTCCACGTGGCCATCTGCAGCTGGACACTGAGGACACTGCAGCTGCCCAGCCACGAAGCCGCAACCACAGAATGAGAGATGAGGCCCAGAGCCCCCTGGAGAGTCGCCGCTCCGAGGCCACCCGGAAGGCTGAGGATGCTGGGGTCTGAAGGCCACGGGCAATGGCGGCTGCAGTGACAAATCTGTAAGTGGCAGGCGGTTCCCAAACATGTGACTTCCTCCTCCTTCCCTTTCAGTCCACCTGGGCCACGAGCCCTCTGGACTCGCACACCCACAAGCACTGCGGGGCTTCCAGCCCGTTGTCTCTGACAGTGCCCACAGACAGGCCCGTGGTGCGCTTTGCCAGCCCACAGTCATTTATTTCTCCACTCTGTCAGGTGACGAACCCCACGTGGCCTGCAGCGGCCCGGTGAGGGAGGTGGCTGGGTCTGTGTCCATCCTCGGCTCATCACTAGGCGGAGGGGGAGGCCCGACCCAGGCAGGGTGCCAGGCTCCTGGCTCTGCCTGTCCCCACCCCAGGCCCCACTGAGAGACCTACCTCCAGCCCAGGGTTCTTGTCTTCAGCAGCTAACACGGCCTAGGCTGGCTGTCCATGGCCCAGAGGTTGAAAGTGGTTTTCACGCCTTTAAACGTGAAAAGAAAAAGCAGGAAACAATGTATGCAGAGATCATGCAATTTGCTCTTCATTGTTTTTAAATGAATTGATCGCTTCATGTTTTCCCCCGGTTTTAATGTAGTAGCAGAAAGTAGCTAAGCCCACCCACCAGAGCTCTGCTGGGCTTTGGGGGCTGTGGTTCCTGCGGGGAGTCCTGGGCCGGCGGCCTCCCACCCTCCACCCACAGCGCCCTCACCCGTGGATCACGGTGCACGGTTCCTCCACGAGTGCTCAGCGTCTTGGTCAGGAGCCTGGGCTCTGGCCCTGTGGCCCACCCTGTGCTCCTCTGGGCCCCGCTGTGCCCTGAGGGGTGGGCGGGGCTGATGGCTGCTGCCCCAGTCCCGAGCTCTCCCACCCCCAGCGAAGAAAAAGCAGGCATTGTCTGCATCTCTATTTACAGGATTGGGGCTTATTGTCACTCACCACTGGCAAACGTGTCATTAAATTTCTCTTAATCCCTGTGTGCCGCCCTTGGGACTGCGGGCCGGAGGGTGTCCCTGTCCGGCTTTGCCTCGTTGTCCACCGACCTGCAAGCCATGAACCACACACGCAGAGTCCTGGCTCCTGGGCATCATTTCTGACTCCCTGCACCCAGTCACTGACCCCTGGTGGAGCACAGGGGACACGCAGGGCCTCAGGGGGCCTGGAAGCCCGTGCCTATGGCATCAGAGCCCCGCCGCCTGCCCCTTGTCCCTGCCCCTTGTCCCTGCTGAGATGGCGCTGGCTGCTGGGGTTTGTGGACACCTTCTGTCATCACACACGCACTTGTGTGGTGGCTGCACAGTCACAGCGTCTGTGAGCCTCGGACAGTTATCTTTGATGCCGGCTCCAGCTTTGTCCCCTGTGTGTGCTGGGCTCAACGTGAGAAACAGTTCTTGTCCCGGCCGAGTGACTCTGACTGTCATGCTCTGAGCTGTCTCTGCGGTCCTGTGTGTGACTCCCTGACTGCGAGCTGGCAGGGTGAGGGTGGTGAGCCTGCCAGGGGGCCCTCTGCCCCAGAGCCTGGTCCTGGGCAAGCCCTCTGCCAGGGGCCTCGCAGCTTCAGTCAGGGACCGTGAGCGCCGGCAGCAGTGGGTGCTGAGCCTGCCCGGCAGGAGGACCATGCCCAGGGCTTCCACCGAGACATCCTCACCTCTTTTCCTGCCCACCTGCTCCCCTCCACCTGGCTCGGAGCACTGGCTCAGTGTCCTTGTCCCAGGTCTGCCTTCGGACCAGGCTGCCTCCAATCCACAACCATCTCATTCCCACCAGCCGTGTCCAACCTGCGGCCCACGGCCACTTCTTTTTAATGTTATAAAAAATAAAAATTTTGTTACTTATATACATGGACTTTATTATACATTCCTTCTGTGGTCAACTTGTAAGCCCAGCTGAACTGAATCAGCGTGGTCTGGGTGTGGAGGACCCACCTGAGGATTGTTGCCAATAGCCATAAAGAGAACTGGAGGGGAAGTTCGTGGGCTGTTGATTTTCTATAAGAAGCTTCCTGTGGATGGTTTTCCTGATGCGAACTTGGCTGTTCTTGTCCTCGTCGGAGCTCGGGGCCTCGCTGTTGCTGGGAATGGCTGCTGTTCTAGTCAGGGGAGCTCCAATCTTCACTGTGAACATTGCTTCCTGGGCTCCAGTGTAGATCCCTCAGCCTGGTGGCACAAATCCTTCACCCCACCGGCACCGGCTTCCTGGCTTCCACCACTGGCCTTTGGGCCTTCCAGGTGCAGATCCTCCATACAGACAAGCATGAGACATTGCTGTGGGCTCCAGGCCACTGGCTGGGGTCATGGATGACATTGCCTTGGACTCTAGGCCTTCAGCTGGACTTGTGTGGGACACTGCTGTGGGACCCAGGCCCTCGGATGGATTCTTTGGGTCTAGTGCGTGGCTAGATCTCTTACACTTCTCTGCATTTGACTTTTTTGGGTGACTATTGTAAAATAATCCTATAAATTATGTTCCCTGTAGTAAATCTATTTTCCTTGCTGAGACCTCGACTACAGTGCCCCCCATTCAGTGTGGTCCAGACAAGCAGGAAATTTTCACACCCACGCCAAGAGTGCCCACACACCAGGGTCCCAGGTTCACACACGCCAAGTGTGCCCACACACCAGGGTCCCGGGTTCACACACCCACGCCAAGTGTGTCCACACACCAGGGTCCCGGGTTCACACACCCACACCAAATGTGCCCACACACCAGGGTCCCATAACAATCTAGGATGTGCCCATCACCCGCCACTCCCTTTGCATTCCAGGCCCGAAGGCCCAGGCTAGGCTCCACTCTGTGAGGGTCCCTTCTTTTCCTTTAAAAATTCAACAAAGTTAAATGAAAAATATAAAAGGAAGTAACCCCATTAATCAGGAAATTTTCCAGATACGTATTGATTTTACCTTTAAAATAAGGTTGCACAAGAGCATTTCACCCTAATGTCCCTGCCGTGGATGAAGAGGGATGGCCAGTCACCTGCACACGGCTGTCAGAGACTAGGTGCAGAAGCATGCAGGTATCTCCCCACTATTTTAGGGTTGATTTGGCTCTTGACTGCACTGGGTTGAATTAATGTTACTGAAGTTGCTTTCACCTGTTTCGTTTTAAGCATAGCCATGGAAAATGCAATAATGTTGTGTAAGTCACTGGTCTGTTTCTTTTGGACAGCACCAGCCTACAGGACAAGGAGGAGTTTGGGTTGGCAGGAAGGAGGCCAGGCGAGCACAGCTGAGGAGCTGCAGCCAACCCTACGCTTGGCTCTGCGGGTCCCAGGTTGCTGGCTGGAGTCTGCCTTCCCATGCTGGACCCTGGCTGTGAGCGGAGTCCGGGTTCGTGAGCCAGGGCCATGTCAGGGTCACAGGAAGTACAGCTGCTCTGGAATAGCACCGCCCGCTGTGTGGGGATGCAGGAGACTCTGCAGGGGACATTCCCCAGGTCTCCCAGGGGCAGCCGCTGTCACGCTCCAGGACCTCCATTGGCAGGAAACTCAGATCCACAAGTTCCACTGAAATGGCTTTCTGCACATCCTTCCAAAACGCAGGAGACAGCTGGTCTCCGTGCTCAGGGTGAAGTCCTGGGAAACGGAACATAAAGTTTATTCCTTCCATTTCTCCTCCATGGGACAGAGGACCTCGGTTCCTCGAATAAAGACAGCTGTGATTTTTTTCTTATGAAAACAAAACAATCTGGCAATTGCCCAAATGAGTAGTTTAGTCAAGTCCTGTGACTTGGACACCAAAGAGAATGGAAACCATGATATCATAAGATTGTGCTGTCTGTAATTGAAGAACTCAGTGGAACATCTGGGAGGAGCTCTCTGTGGTCTCTGTTCGTTTACCCTAGGACACTGCATGCAGAGATGCGGCTGAAGTGGAGGTGCTCAGGGCTTCTGCGTGGGCTGCTCTGTAGGCCTCACAGGCTGTGGTTGGGCAGGTGCCCTCCTGACCCAACTGGCAGGGCCTCCAGGGGCTGTTTGAGGTGTCTGCCTGGTGCAGGGCCGGGAGCTGCTGGGAACCAATAGAAAATACAACTGGGCCTCTCCTTGTCTCAAAATGGCTGAGAATTTCCAGATGGTAACAGCAGAGCATTGATCCAAGTGTGAGGCCTTTCTTTGGCTGGGCAGGTCTTAGGCCCCTTACAGCACAGCACCATTGGCTCAGCTCTTAGGGCCACGATGACATTGACTTCTGGGGAGCAGGAGAGGGTGAAGATGACCTTGGGATGATCTGGGAAGGAGGGCAGGGGCTGCTGGGAAGAAGGGCAGTGATTGATGGGAAGGAGGGCAGTGGCTGCTGGGAAGGAGGGCAGGGGCTGATAGGACGGAGGGGCTGTGGGGGAGATATGGGACCTCGAGTGCCCTCCAAGAGGTTGGATTTAAAATTTCTGTTGGCTTTCTGACCAGGGAGAGAGGGAATAATAGTTCGCATTGTGGACAGGATAAAGTATGTCTGGGGAAGGGAAGATGTTTTTGGGTCCCTTTTATTCCCCTTTTCCTTTCGTCTTGCCCTCACCCCTTTCTGTTTATGTTCTCATTATTCTTGGCGCGGGTTGCTGTGGAAGCGTTAAGGATCAATATCCTCAAGACAACTAGAGGCGCCTCTTTCAGCCTCACTGCAACCATAGATATTAAGCGTGCAATTCCACTGTCTTTGGACTCTGGCCTGAGATTTCTTCCCCCAGAGCTCGCTTTTCCAAGTGAGTGGATTGTGCTGGGCTCTGGTCTTGACCAGCTCTGCTCTCTTCCACCTGCCACAGGGCCACTGTGAGCTCCTCAGAGCAGGCGAGGTGCCTCAGTCGGCCAGGGGCTGCTGCTGTCACAGGAGACAGGGCTGTGGCTGGAGGGTGCAGTGACCGGGCTCCGTTCTGGTTCGCTCCTTGGCTCGGGATTGAGGCTCGAACGCACGGCTGCCATCTGACCCTCAGCCTCCCTGAGGCATGGGCTCCAAGCGTGTGGGCAGTGCTCTGCCCGCCTTCTCCATCCTGTCTTTTGAAGGCGAACTGTTTCCTTGGTGTCTGCCGGGCATCTGGAAGCAACAATGAGCGATTATCTGTGCGGCACCTCTGGGCCAGGTGTGGGTGACTCATCGACCTCCCGAGGGCCGATTTGTTAAGCAAGCTCCGTCTGGGAGCTGCCAGGGTAGAGGAGCACCTCAGAGAGGGCTTGGCAGAGGCAGCGCAGTTAACACCAGGGCGGGAACTGGAGAGGCAGGGAAGGAAGGCGTGGCTGGGTTGTGACTTGCACGCCGTCTGCTCAGCCCGAAGAGGCCAAGGGGTGGGCGCAGTGCCCGGTCATGCAGTCTCCACGGTTGGGTCTGTAATTACCTTTGCAATGTCTCCGGGGAATTCTGGAAGAGAGGGAGGAAACAGTGAGACCTCTGCTCTGTGCCATGAGGCGTTACAAAGGGCCTAGCGCAGGCTCCTCGGGATACGAGGATGAGGCTCTAACCGGAAGTTAGCAGCTGCTCTTGCACCCTCCTGGCCCAGGCTGTGGCAACGGGCTGTCGCTGTCCTGACTCTGTGTCCTCAAGCTTTGTGTCTGGCTTTTTTCCCAAGATGCTCTTTTCTGGACACATTCTCTTCATGAACTTTTCAGTCCATGGAGTTTTTAGGAAAATTTAAAGTATTTTGTGAAAGCCATTTGAAAGTCAATAAATATTGCTGTTTTCCTTATACCCATTTTATTGAGACCTTCTTTTTAATATTATATCCTCACAGGGCCAGGGGTTTAGCTCAGTGGTGCCGCCGCCTGCCTCGAAAGCGCAAGGTCCCGAGTTCGATCCCAGGTACCCCCTCCAAAAAATATTATGTCCTCATGTTTTCACAAAATTGCCTTAAAAATGACAAATTTAAAAGGGAAGCAGAGTCCCAGGTCAAATGTCCTGGTCTGGACTAAGAATTTAACCACATCCGAGTTTGCCAGTTTGCATCCCTGGGAGTAACAGGGCAGACTGTGTGTGAATGAACGATGGGCCCTTTGACGACTGACTGATTTCTCAGCCCTGAAACATATTGAGCTGAGCAGGGTGGATGAATGAGACCTGACACATCCGCTGAAAAGCAGAGCTGCAGAGCCGCTTAATGGGCTCCGGCGTCACCCTGGGAGCACGCGCTGTCCCCACCCATGAAATATTCACAGTTCGGCGCTATGGCACAGGGCATTGGGAGGCCGGCTCGAGGGCCTCCTGCTCTCCAGCCGCTTCCAGTCGGGGCCTTTGGGAGCAGACGTCTGTGCGTCCTGTGAACAATGGGGACCCAGAATGACCTTCCCACAGCATTGTTCCTAAGGCCCTGGGCAGCTGCAGCTTTAGGTACCTGCAGTGGGAATGCTCCTGCAGCCTGTGCTTTGCAGGTAGGATTGGGCGAGTGCCCCAGGGTGCTGGGAGCAAGCTCTGCAGCTCTAGGGAGGATGAGGGGATGACCCCCGAGAAGCACCCTGCGGACTGAGCAGCTGGGAGTCCCCACCTGGGCCTGCCTATCTCCTTCAGCTTCTGCTCGCTTCAGGCTTCAGCCACTGGCCAGGTAGTTTCTACACTTTTTACCATCTTTATGGACAATCGGGCCAGCCCAGGTTGGGACTGTTACCTCCAGGGAGGCATGGGATCTGCTGCCTCAGCTCTTCGCACTGGAGCCCTGGCAGAGAACGTGGGCACCACTGAGGCTGCGTCCTTGTTCCCGCGACACAGGTGAACGGCAGCTGAGGTAAGGAGTCCTTGTGCCCAGCCATGCTCTGACCAGTGGCGGATGCTTCTCCTCACCTCGGTCCATGGGAGGATCGGCCTCTTGCCCCCTTCCCTCTCCTGTGGCCACAGGGGCTATGTGAGTGACTACAGTGCCGCAGACCCCAGGGTCCAGTTGCCTGTGTGGAGCGGAGATGCTCTCCCTCTGTTGAGTGGCCTGGGCCTAGAGAGAGGAGGAGGCTTGCCAGACACTAAGCTCCTCTTACCAACCGCAAGGACAGGCAGCATGGGCAGAAGTCATCCTATTGCAGTGCACTTAGCATACCAGGTGGCAAGATCCAGGCAAGTGCTGAGCAGGTTTATCAGGTCACAGCCCTCCAGAGACTGAGGGGACCCGTTGTCCAGGTCGGCAAGCTCACCACCGGCAGGTCGTCCTCTTACCCTGTGCCTCACAGCCTGGCTCCTGGCTGACAGGTGTCTGCCGATTCTATCTCTCTGGCAGTAGGGGGTGCTCTGGGAATATGGTCTCCAAATTAATTTCTGCCTGTGGTTATGATCCTTTAGGAACCCCAAAGAGAGAAAAGAAGAACATCAAATTGTCATTCTGTGAACAGATGTCTTTGAGCTTCAAAAGGACAGAGTACCTCAGCCCAGGGCTGGCAGGAATTACGGTGGTGCTAAAATAAAGTACACGGCTGAGATGCAACCAATAAAGACATGGGAAACCCGGGTGGGAGCTCATAGTTCCCACCCTGGTCCTCGGGCTGGCCATTGACTGCTGTCCTGTGAGAACCTGGGCAGACCTGGTGTGATTTGTGGGTTCATTTTCTGTTCTGGAGAGAACAAGGCTGTTCTCTCTCCTTGGCTCTGGCTGGTGATGGGCCAAGGGACCCGGCGACTTCCATCTGGGCCCTGCTCTGCTCTGCTCTTGTTGCTGTGATGGTTGCGATTTGGACGCAAGCTCGGCTGAGGGCTGGGCACTGGAAGGTGGGCTGGGTGGTGAGGCTGTCGCTGGGTGGTGGCCGAGTCTGGCCTGCCCTGAAACTTCTGGCTTCTCATCTGCAGG